TGCCTCTTTACGGCCCACTTTAGTACTCTCTGCCTGTGCGGTTGTTATTCTTCAGCAGAATGACTTGATCTCCCTTGTTTGTTTGGTTAATGACTACCAAGCTTTTAAGAGTCATCATGTGTTTCTCCCATGACACCATCTCAGTCTCCCAGAAACAATGTTAGGCATTTCCTTCCCTAGAATCTCACAGCACGTCTACGTAGCTGTCCCTTAGCACACGTCACCCAGGTGTTGTGAGCTGCTCTCTTTCACTAATCATTAGCATGTGAATTTTGTAAAATCATAACACTGCCTTATACAGCTCACATTCCTAGTGTCTTGTGTAGGCAGGGATGTCTTAGGTACTCATGAATCAGTTTAGATACCACCTTCAGCAAGGACATTCAGATTATTTTAATTAAATTGATTTCATTTTGGGGAGACAGGTTTGTTTTTCAAGTCATAATGGTTTTAAGGTATTTATATATACTCATATACCCACATAAAATAACAAGTAACATATTCATAACTACTACACAGATTCCAGAATGACTTTCCAAGTCAGCACCAATGTCCCATTGAGTATATTAATGTAACAGAGGCCTGAATAATGAGAAATGACAGAAAAAATGTTAAATCTGATATTGTTATTTGATATATTAAATAAATCTCAGATATCATCAACTTAAAGAAGACAGAAACATAGCATCTGCACTTTTTGTTCAAAAATAAAAAAGATTCTGCTAAGGGTATGGGTTTCAAGAATACTATTCTTGCCTAAAATCGATTTCCTCTGGCCTAGATTTATGATCCCAACAACAATCGGTATGAAGTTCCAGTTCCTCTGAACGTACCCACAGTGCCATCCAGCACCCCTGAGGGTCAACTCTATGATGTCCTCATTAAGAAGAATCCATTTGGGATTGAAATTCGCCGCAAGAGTACAGGCACTATAATGTGAGTGGCTTCTAGTGTGACTCAGAGTTGATGTCTACCTGTGCCTTCGCTGCCAGGTCCATCGTCCTTGGATGTATCCTGGTTCCAAGCATCACATTGTCCACTTCCAGATCCATGGATGAGTTGTTTCCTTCAGACCTGTTCTCGTGGGAAATCTTTAGCATTCTGGAAATAATTACTGAGGCAGTCGAGTGTGCCTGAGGATTCATCCAACAAATGTTTATCGGGTGCCTTGTCTAGAGGAGGTGCTACTCCCTATAGACAGCTGAGGGTTGTCTTCTCATGACAACCAATAATAAGTAAATATCACTTTGAGTGCTATGTAGAAAATGCGCTGAGGGGTGCAAGGGTGGAAGGTGGTGCTGGTGTGGAGTGTACCCAGCAGTGATGGTGAGGAGTGCTTGGATTTTTATTGTGGAGGACCACTGAAAGGAGGCAGTGACAGTGGGAAACAGATGAAGGAAGAATAACTCATGGGTTTTTAGTGAGGATATCTATGATATTTTAATCAAGTTGAGTTTCTGTTTTGTTTTGAAGATGAACAGGTTCTGGATAAAAATGAAACATTCTGTTGTCCTTGAAAAGTCAGCTGCTGGAAGCAGAAAGAAAAACCCATTTTCTGTTTCAAATCTGCCTTTTTGTGTTTCAGTTGGGACTCTCAGCTCCTTGGCTTCACCTTCAATGACATGTTTATCCGCATCTCCACCCGCCTTCCCTCCAAGTACCTCTATGGCTTTGGGGAAACTGAGCACACATCCTATAGGAGAGACTTGGAGTGGCACACTTGGGGGATGTTCTCCCGAGACCAGTCCCCAGGGGTAAGGACAGAGCATTTGGGATCTGTGTCTCTGCTTCTCTCCACCCACACTGCTCAGGCTTCGGGCTTCATCTTCCCAAACTCCACTTGGTCCCCTCATTCTGGTTTTAGACGAGTAGGCCAATTCTCAGGCTCCTTTGTTTCACGTGTTTAATTGATTTCATGGAGAAAA